GCTGCGAGGTCGAGGAGTAGGCACGTTTATTTTGCCAAGTTTTTTATCCTTTTTTTGGTCAAAGAAAATAGTTTTTGTGGTAAATATTTTCTTTTTTTGTTTTTTGTCGGCACACTTGTCGAGTTTTTTACAGCGAAGTGAGGCAGACTGCTGCAGGTCGGCCATAATAAAAAATAAGGCGTTTGTGCAGTTAATAAAGCCGAAAAAACTGAAGGAAAAAGTAAGGCAAAGAAGAATAAGAAGTCGAAAAAAGGAAAAATTTTTGGTACTGTTTGATGTAACTGTTAGGAATAATTGTGTTTTGTCTTAGACAGGTGTATCGATTATAGTATTGTTGTCAAAAATTTGTGTAAAGAAACTGTTGGTAAATTTTGAATGCTGTTTGAGTTATGAAGATTAGAGAAAATGAAGGTAGTACGAGCAAAGAACAAGCTGTTTTTGACCATGGTTTGATTTTAGAAAAACATTGAAAATTTGTTACAAAGAGCATAAAGCTCAAGACCGAGAAATTTGAAATTTGATTGTACTTTGAAGGTGAGAGTATTTTTTTGATCACTTTGATTTCCTAGAGAATACTGTTGCTTTCTGTTTCTTTTTGTTCAGCCTTTTTTGTAAAAATTTGAATAGACTTTCAGTAGAATTGTCAATGTCATTTGATGCTTATAATTGCCGTGTTATGGTTTCCAATGATTAAAGCGAGAGTGATGATGAGGAGGTTAAAAACTTGTTGATATTTCCTGAAATAACTTTTAAGGTTTTCAAGTGCACCTATTTGTTACTTTTTAAATAAAGTAGAAAAATCTCAGTAGATAAATTAACTGTTAACAATTTGACGATTATGTTTTTTAAAAAAGTGTTATATAAAAAATGAATAAGAACGAATCCTTTTTGGACTTTATAAATAAACAAGTAACTTGAATAAAAAATAAAATTTTTTTAAATAACTCAGCTTATAGCTATTCTTTAGCAGTTAATTGGCCACTCAGCCAGTCATATCTGTCAGTGAGGTCAGAGTTTGTCGTTAGTTTAAGTTTTCGTCTTAGCACAGTTGACAATACACTTCAAAAAATTGTGTCACCAGTTGTCTCTTTGCTTTTACTGCTTTCTATTTTATAAATTTGCCTCCGCCTTCCTCTTCTAACTGTTTTTTCCCTCTTGACCCTCCTCAAATTTCCTCATTCTCTGTTTCGCCCTAACTTGTCGTTGTAGATTGGTGATTCAGAACGCATATGAAGAAGAGACAGAAATGATGTACGTAGGAGTATTAAAAGAACCAAGCTGCAATAAATGTTCAGCTCCTGACGCTGTTGTTTGAAGTTGAAAACAGAAATCAACAAACTAATTCTTTTTAAAAAAGTGTTACCAAGAGTAAAAAAAGAGGGTGATGTGCACTTGAGAAAAAATTGAAGAAAAAGAAAGAGGAGAAGAAACATACGGGATACTTTCACGAAAAAAAAATTTTTTTAGCATGTTAACTCGCTTCTTTCTCGCTTCTTTCCCTCCCCTTCTTGCCAGTTTTTTCTTTTGCTAGCTTTCAATATAAAGACAAGGGAGAAGAAAAAGAAGAGGAAAAAAAATTGGCTAATATTTCTTCTTTTTTTGCGTTTGTTTTTGTTTTGTTTTGCTGCAGTTTTTTTATCACTGTATTGTATCGCTTTTAGAATTTTTCTGCTATTTATTTTGTTATGTTATTTATATTTTTTTGCTGTTTTCTATTTTTTCTCTTTTTTCTCCTATTTTTTTTAGTAAAAAAAAATAGTGAATAATCTATTTAAGACTTTTGCAGATGAATGGTTTGTAGGGCTGGCAAAAGAGACCTTGAAAGGACAGAACAGAAATGCACAGTCTTGTATTGTTAAAATGTGGACGTCTTGGTTTCTGTTGATTTTTCTCTGCTGTCGATTTGTTCTGACAACAGCTACTGTCGCCGCCGAACAATGCTGCCGTCGTCGTGGCGTTTCGGATGACTGTAGCCGAACGTTATGTAATCCAAAAAGTATTCCTGATGATTTTGCTGTCTATAATATATTTGATCGCCATATGAACTGTTTCCCACATATGGGAGCAATTTCTGAATGCTTAGCTGATGGACGTAACCACATGCATTGCTGTATTCGTGACGCACGAGATCGAGATGAAGATGCATGTTTTACGATGTGCCGAGGTGAGACACCCGGACGTGATCTACCATGGGATAAATTTCAAACGTGTTTTGCAATAAATGTTGAACCAATGTATAAGTGTTTTTTAGAAGGCTATCAAAATACACCATCTGCGCCACAATCGTTACGTATTTTATCAAAAACTAATAATTCTGTATCACTTAGTTGGAGTCCATCGGCTATCAATGCACATCTTATTGGCAACTATCATGTTACACTAACTGATGCCGATGATGCCGGTAATATACGCACTGAAAATACTCGTGAAACAAAAATTACAATTAATAATCTACAAACTGATAGCAAATACATTGTTTCTGTTGTTGCTGTAACACGCGATGGATTAAGACGATCATTATCAGCGGAAAAGTTGCATTTTTTTACATCTGGTGCAGCGCCACAAATATCTGCCTATCGCGACGTTGTGTCCGCACCCAGGCAAGCATCCAGTGTCACCTTGGCTTGTCGAATGATAATCACCGGCACTGTACACCGGCCAACACGAACACAGTGGCTGAAATATAACGATTATACGAAACGTTTTGAACATATCCACAGTTTATTACCATCAAATTATATTTCCTACAATGACATTCCACGTTACTTTGTAACAACTTTAAGAATTACATCAATTCAAGAGTCTACTGCTGGTCTTTATCGCTGCTATGTTTCTAATGATCTTGGCAGTGCTCAAGCAGATATTACTGTTCATACTCGTACCAGAGTTACTCCAAAACCAACACCACCAGAATCACCAGCCAGTTGTTGTAAACGTCAAGGTATTCGTCCATTGTGTGCAGCATTTTGCGGTAATGACCGTTCACGAAAAACAACCTTAAAAACTGAAGTATTCATAAAACACCACTGCGAAGAAGAGACAGAAAAATTTTTAGCTTGTAGCGCGTCAGATTCTGATGAAGGAGCCTGTTGTCTCAGGAATAAAATTCCAAGTAGCTGTCTTTTTTTATGTGATGGTTCGCAAACAATCAGTAAAAATATTCCGCAGCTTTGCGCTCCGTATTCAATGATTATTTTTCAATGTCGTATGGAGGAAGCAGAGAATCGTCCAGAAGCAATTACCGGTTTGAAGGTTAATCAAGATGGTGATAAAATTTCCACAGTATGGAACGAGGCAGCTAAAGCTGACGTTTATCATGTGTACTACCGACGACGTAATTCCAGTGAATGGATTCTGGAAACCACGTCGGTTACACATGTGACATTAGAGGGTTCAATTGAAGAGATAGTCGTTGTTCCATCCAATAGTGTTGGTAATGCTCAAGCAGCTCGAATATCTAAGCAAGGTGGCAAGTGGAAAGCTTCCTATTACTGATCTCGACTACCTACTTTGCTGTAACTTCGCTTATTTGTTAATTCTTCTGCCTATTCAATTTCTTCAAACTGTCTTATTCTAAATGTTTGTATGTATAACAACAGAAATAATATTTAAAATACTGAAAAATTGGTAATAACAATTTAACTTATTGACTGTTTCTTCGCTTATCATTCCAAGCGATGTGCAGAACAAATTTTTTTTGCAGTTCAAAGTTAGTAGTTTCATCCAATTTCTCGCCACCATCGTCAACATCATCGTCATTGTCACCTGCAGCATTATCATTACCATCATTGCTGCCATCGTCGTCGTTGTCGTTGTTGTCATCGTTGTCATCACCATCACCTTTATTATTACCTTCTTATTCTTGGTTCTTCTACTTTTTCTTATTTTTCAGTCCTTTGTCTAAATATCTTCTTTTTTTTTTCTAAAAGTTGAA